CCCTCTCACCTTTTCCCCTATTTGCAATAAATTAAGCTGTGATGGTTTTATTTATATCTTACATAATATTGAATCCTAGAAGAATCTGGCTTGATTTAAAAAACAAACAAAAAAACAAATAAAGAAAAACATATGTGAATGCTACACTATTTTTTGAATGGTGTGATAAATGTTGGAATCATAATTATAACGTTTTAAATTTTTTATTCATCTTTGATTTTGATTTGAATGTATGATTATCACATGTCAAAGAGTACATATTTGTAGTTACTAATACATTATGAATGTATGTTTAAACTGTTTTAGAAGAAAAGTGTTAAGTTTACTTATTCTAAAGAGTGAGCAGATTTGATTTCTGATGCAAACATGAGTTAAACATTGCACTTGCAACATCAGTGCATCAGCGAATCTTGATTGCTAAAAAAATATTTAACATTTTCTACATGTATTCATTATAAACTAATTTTAAATACCAAACAACCTTTGTTAAAGAAAGTTTTGGTGTTAATCACTTTATAAGCTTGGCTACCACTTAGTTGTAGAAGGAAATCTGTCTCTAAATCTTGCGGTTTTAATTCCATCTGAATGTATTATAGTGCATGATCCCAAAATTAATCTCATGAAAATAATTAATTTAGCTTTAATAATATCATTAATTCTTACCAATCGCTGGTATTTTTTTAATTCTGTATATTTTATGCTGTATAATAATAATTTCTTAATAATTTCTCATACATCTTACTTTTACCCATACTTTTTTCTTTCCTGACCACAAAATAGTTATACTAACTAGCACTTTCATGTTATAGTCACTCTCTTCTGGCTACTCAAAATAAACGAAATATGCTTTTTTTGTGCACTTATTGTCGTAAATTCTTGCATAATTTTGCCATGCCTTAATTTTGATCCTGTTTAATAATGCATACAACTACAATTTGCTTTCTATAACTAATTATGTCCTGAATTTGTAACATTCAGAATTATGATTAAAATATTTTAAAAACCTAACCTTGTGACCAGTGTTGGGACTAACGCGTTACAGTAACTATGTTATTATTGTGGTAACGAGCACGGTAACTAGTTATTATGCCAAA